CATTAAATGTCCATTCTCTGTGTTCTTAAGCAGCAATGCACAGTTAGAATCACATCATCAAGTTCGCCGATGACACGACAGTGGTGGGTCTCATCAGTAAGTATGACGTGTCAGCATACAGAGAGGAAGTGCAAATGTTAACAGACTGGTGCAAAACCAACAATCTGTCTCTGATTGTGGACAAAACAAAAGAGATGGCTGTGGATTTCAGGAAGACACAGTGCAATCACTCCCTGCTGAACATCAAAAGCTCCTTGGTGGAGATCGTCAAGAACACCAAATTCCTTGGTGTTCACCTGGCGGAGAACCTTACCTGGTCCCTCAACACCAACTCCATTACCAAGAAAGCCCAGCAGCATCTCTGCTTCCTGAGAAACCTGAGGAAAGCCCAACTCACACCACCCATCCTCACAACGAGGGATCCTCTCAATAGGGACTATTGAGAGGATCCTGAGCAGCTGCATCACCACCTGCTTTGCGAATTGCAATACATGGACATTTACAAAACACGCTAAAATCCAGTCAAAAATAGCTTGTATTAAATCTAACAAAAGAACATGCATCACGCTACAAAACTGTAGGTGGTGTGACTCTAAAAAGACCAGATCCGCCCTAAACCATATATGGTTCGCCTCACTTCCGGCCTGAAACGTGTGCGCTGCGGGGCTGCAGCTGGATATATCTCGATTCACCGCCGACACCCTAGCATGAATACATTTTTTATTTAATGAGGAAGACGACGACGAGGACGATCAACAGAACAAAATATGCCTAACAGCGCGCGAGAGAGAGAAAGAGAGAGAGAGACTGCCTGAATGACTGAGCGCGTCCTCCGTCAGGTTAAGTCATATTCATAAAAAAATAATTTGCGATGTCCTAAGAGTAATCTTGTGGTAATATCCTTTCAATTTTTAAGGGTAGTGTACTCCCCCATGGCTTGCGTACGGAAGAGGATTAGGGCCAAGCAATAATAAAAAAAAAAAAACCATCTCGAGATTAAAGTCGTTAAATTTCAAGAAAAAGGTTGAGATTAAATGTTGAGATTAAACTCGTTAAATTTCGAGAATAAAGTAGTTATGTTTCGAGAAAAAACTCGCTAAATTTCGAGAAAAAAGTCGAAATAAAATGTTGAGAATAAACTCATTAAATTACGAGAAAAAAAGTCGAGATTAAACCATAGACTGTATAAAGGAATAAACACTCGTGTCATGTTAATTTCATCTCATTATTCAGTGTCTGCAGTGGGGTGGACGGGAGAGTAATGCACTGGGGAGTAGCGTATGATCCTCTTTTTGTGTAATTTAGATTTAAAAAATGTGTCCCTTTTATTGTTTAAGTCACTTTTCAAAAGTTGCTAAAAGTTGCCAAATAAATTTTAAAAATGGCTACATTTGTTGCTAGGTGCTTTTGGAAGAAAAAGTTGCTAGGGTAGTATGAAAAGTTGCTTTTGCAAAACTCGCTTTTCTCCCTTTTCTCATCACATCGGAAAAGTGGAAATCAATTTCTTAACGAGTGTTTAATAATAATATATTAATTAGGGGTAGGCAGGCTATAAGGAGGGCTTTGTTGTCCCAATAAGCCAGCATCTATTTAATAATTTCAATAAATAAAATCCTTCCCAGCTAGCCATTTTTGGTTCCCAGAACGTTCCCGGAATGTTAGTTTTTGGTTCCCAGAACGTTAGTTTTTATGGTTTGCTTTTGTTTAGCCAGGAAAGTTTTCTTAACGTTCCCAGAACGTTAGTTTTTGGTTCCCATAACGTTATTATAACGTTAATCTAACATTCCTATAACGTTCCCCTAAAGTTAGTTTTTGGTTCCCAGACTGTTATTATAACGGTACCCTAACCTCTTTACTCCGATATGATCA